AGGTAGGAAGTAACTGTCCCCTCCCCTCCTCTCTCTCTCTCTCTCTCTCTCTCTCGAGAAAAGTAAGACGATTTCCGGCGAAAACTTTTCCGGGATAAGTTGTCCGCGCGCGGAAGCATCTGGTACGCAGATTTATCTCACACGCGGGAATGATATAGAGCGTCGCCGAATTTCGAAAACTCGTGTTTGCGAGACATCCGTCTCCAAGTTTCCTAGTATTTTCCAGGCCCGGATAATCCACCGTCCGAATTCCTTTTCAAACGCATTGGAAAAATGCCGGATACTTTTTATCGCGTCGGATGGAATGGAACTCGAGCAACGTAATTTTCGATAAATTCGTGTATAACGTATAATTCATTCCAATCGCGATCGCGACTGCTTGAGATTACCACGCGTAATCTCGATAATAGCTCACGGTATTAAAGCACGGTACAAAAGGAAGAGTTGGAAGTAGATGCCGTTAGAATATATGTATATATAGTTTGGAAACAAGGGTTCACTGCTGCACGCGTTACGCGAAACAAAAGTTCACGGATAATCCGCATACGCGAGTTACGTTTCAGGACGTTCCTCCTCTCCACAAACCTCTCGCGAAAAGTAACGAAACTTTTTCCGCGTTTATATAAGCTTCTTAAGAATGTTTTACCATCTCCATCCCGGTATTCCGGGTTATACTTCTTCCAGAAACATCTTACAACCGCAACTCCCCTCGTCCAATCTTCGACATCCACTTCGAAATCGCTCTAATTTCCCATTCCGCCGTTTTCATCCCCCCCCCCCTCCAAGATAACAACAAGTTTGGACAGAGACTGGAAGATAAAGTGAGTAAGATGGAGATGGGCGGAAGGGTAATTTTAATAACCGTTGGCAAGGGTGGTAGGCGGGGAACAAAGTGGCACGGTCGGTTTTAATCTCCGCAAGAAAGGGCCGCTAATCCCGGCCCTGTTTGATCGCGCGGGACACACTCGTGTTCCTCGTTTTAACGCCGCAGCCTCGCCTCTGACCGCGAGCAAATATGTATAGCGGGCGCGCGACCGTGCTGCAACGAGGATGAGGGCAAACACGGTGGGCGAGGGTCGAGGCCGGGCATGGCGATACGATGCGACTGGTCTGGAAAATCGTGGAAAGTAGGCTGGGACGCGGCTTAAAGTGCGCCTCGGCCGACTGTGGAATCGCGTGCGGTTCCGCGAAAACTAGGATGCCAAGGTTTAACGCGGGGAGGGATGGGGGTAATCCGGACCGGCGGGGGAGTTTTCTAATTTGAATGTTTGATGTCGGATCGCCTTTTGTTTCCGGCCCGGGCCACGCCGGGAAGAAATAAGAGCAGTTACATCTCCCGTCCCCTCGCCTTTCCTTTCTACCTTATCCATTGTTTCCCACCTGATACCCCTCTCTCCGCTCCCGTTCCTCCAGCGATGGAATCAATCGTGTCGCGGGAACGCGTTCCTTGTTATTCCCGTTCTCGCGCAGGGATCCGATCGAGTTTGAGGATCGGTCGAAGAGAGCGAGAAACGAGAGAGTCGTTTTCTTTCGCCGTTCATTCGAGTGCCCTTCCTCGGCCGGATCTAGATTTCATTTTAACCCCCATTTTAACGAGAATTCCCGAGAATCTGAAATGACAATAACCGAATGTCGAACGAGGGCGAAAATTACGATATCCTGGGTATATATATATATATACACCTATCGTCGTTTCTCGATCTACCCACTTTCTTAACATCCCCCCTGCGATCTCCAATTTCCACGTTTAATGGATTCAGCGCGCAACGTGTATTTTTATCTTCTCGCGGCGCGGCGATAAAGCCAATTAACCCCGTGTAAATGCTAATACGGGCCGGGTCCATTGTAACCGGATACCGTAACCGGCGCTCGTTACGAACGCCTCTTAAAACGTCGTAAAAGTTACTTTTGCGACCTCTGTCTATTCCCCTCCCCTTCGAATCTCGTTCGCACGTACCGACTCGCGTAAAACCCGCGAGTACAGTTTCGGAAACCGCGCTCCCTCCTCGCCATTTAAATGCTAATGTCGGCTCGCTCGAGTCGGGGGGGAGAGCGATCGAGAAGTTTGGAAAGGAGGAGCGAGTTTTCGTCTCGATGCCTCGCGTGGACGACGACTCCTGCTGGTTGGAGAGGGGAGATACAAGGGTATACAACGGCGGATCTTTCCGAATCCGTCTTACAGAAATGTGCACTTTGGAACGATGGTAAAAACGAGAGAGTCTCCTCTCACTCTGTCTCTCGAACGTTTCAAATCTACTTTTCGTCCTTCTTCCGACGACGTTCCTTTTTTGCAGCCTTAGTTTCTTCTGCTCGCGACACTTCTCTCCATTTCGTATCGGATCCTCCGGATTTCGACGTGGAAAGAAGCGCGCCCTGTCGTTTTTCTTACGGATCCCGTATATAAATTGTAACACGTTACGAATCGGGTTGATCGATCGCTCGAGAGAGAGAGAGAGAGAGAGAGAGAGACGAAATCTCTGCGAGGGAAAAAAGAAAGAGAGAAATTGCAAGGATCACGAGGTATCGTGTCGTTTTTATCGCATAAATAACGCAACACCGTTGTCGAATCACGGATATTAATGCTTCTCCGTCGTTCGAACGTAAGAGAGACGAATAGTACGCTAGTTCCGCGTACAAGCCGCAACGTTATCGAGAAAACTTGCCGTCCCCCTCCTTGTACAGGTGTACGAGCAAGTCCACGGTTCTCGGATTTACTTTTATTCTCCGATATATATCTTTATCTCGGTTGTACACGTTTTCCCTATCTTTCTCGGATATTCAATTCCCATTTATCCGCAACTTTTCTCTTGATAAGACTCGAGAAGGTTTCGTTATCTCGAAACCCGTCCGTGGAGATTGTTTTTTTCTTTCCTCTCTCTCTCTTTCTTTTCCTTTTTTTTTATCTCCGCACATTCTTCTTCGAGAAATCGCTCGCTTTTCTTCTTCTTCCTCTCGCTCGCGTTTTCTCGCCTCTTACACGTCGCGTTATATTTCTCTCGCAGGAGAGGAAGAAGGAAAGAAGAGAAAGAAAAAGAGAGAGCGAAACGATCGGATATTCGCGAGGCTATTCGAACGACGCATCGTTGCGGCGGGAGAAGAAGGCAGAGAAGACTCGACGCCGTGTGTTTAAACACGGCCGAGTTTGGAACGTGTTGGAACGGAGAAGAGATTTTTAGCGGCGCGTTTCAGCCGTGAGAAATCCTCGTTAAGCACGAACCTAGCTCGAGGATGCGCCGGTTATTGGGCCGGTTCAATGCCAACCGCGCGTCGCATTTCGCGGCAAACTCGCCTATCCGAGAGAAACGCGTATCTATCTCCCTCGTTTCGAACGAATTCGTAGCTACGAATCGGAACGAAAATTGCGAACAAGTAGCGGCGCGACGATAACAAGAGGGGAAGGAGGAGAAGGGAGGAGCGGGGAGAGAGAGAGAGAGTCGGAAATTCATCGAATTTCCCCCGAGGATTCGTCGAACCAGTTTGGGTAAAATGGGTTTCATCTCAATTTTCGGTTCGAAGGATTTCTTTCGAGCCAACGTGGCAAATGAAATTGACTCCGCGGGAGGATAGAAGAAGCCAACCGACCCATCGTCGAATAATCGTCCCTTCCACTACCTTTCGATTAATCCTCGACAACTTTTCCCGATTCGTAACGATAACCGCGCAAGAGGAGAGATCTTCCCTTCTTTCGCGATCGAGCGCGATCCCTTCAACGATAGTAGAAGAAGAAGCCTCTTTCCAAATAGGAAGAAAGGGGAGAAAAGAGGATCCCCCTCTCCCTCCCCCCCCTCTCCCTCCGACTACTCACTTGGAATATCCCGAACGCTGTGCCGAGGTGTTCATTTGTTCGCGCGACCGTCGTCGTCACGATCATTACTCCTCTCCAGGCCTCCTTCCTTTCTCTCTTCGCCTCTTCCTCTTCCCGCTGCCACCGTCCCCCCTCACCGCGTCAGTCCCCTTTTATCGCTCTTTCGGCCACAAACACCGTTGTTGTTGCTCGCTCGAAGCAAACGTGGAATCGCGCGCCACCACGACACCACGCAACGTTGTCTATGCGTTGTCGTACATCTTCCGTGCACACGCGTATACGCGGCGTATACTGCTCGCAGCACCACAAATCGGAGCCAGCATCCCCCTCGTTCAAACGTTGAGACCAGCCGAGAATTCGATCCCTCCTCGACGAGCAGTCGAATAATAATATCGATCGACCAATCCCCGATCAATTCCCTCCTAGCTCGACCCAACTCTCTCCGTCCAATTCCCTCCTCGCCAGTCTTCGAAAACTCTCGGGTTTCGTCTCCTCGACGAGTTTCATCTCGCTCGAACGCGTAGACGTTTCATTAACCACCACCACCGAGGTTGCGATCAGCTGCTGCTGGGTCGCCAGGTGATACCCTTCGCTCTCTCTCTCTCTCTCTCGTGCACGATTATCCCTCGACGAAATCTCTCCGCGCCGTGGAATTCGCCCGTTCCGTACAACACTTCGGCGCAGCGTATGAAATAGCAGGCAGAATTTCCGGTGCGAAAAAGCGCACTGGCATCGGCACAGCCACGCAACCGCCAACTACGTGCCCTCGACTGGAGGCGCCTGCGGTCCAGGCTGCCACGCAGTACACTGAGCCGTGCCGGCTGCTGCCCGGGAGAATCCGTGGCCGAACGAACCTCCCCGAAAATCTGCGAAGATCCTCGATTCGATAACGCTCTCTTCGGGGTCGCGCACGAGTCGCGCACGAGAGATGCTCGATTGTCCACGCTATCGCCGCGCGACCCTGTCGCTGCTTCAATTCATCCTTCCACCGATTCTTCCACGCATCTCGAAAACCAAAGATATTCTCGCCTATATATATATGTACGTATATATAAAACGATCGATCGACTTTGTCGAGGGATTAGTTTCTCGACGTGGTGGTCCTATTGTCGCGTCGACTTTCTTTGGATCGCGAACAATTACGGATATCCAAGTTTTCAACGCTTCGAAACGTTACGTTGCAATGGTTTGTCCTTTTTTTTTTTTGCCCCGCGACGATATAAATAACTCGGTATTCTCCCCGAGTTATTTTCAGAAATAATTGTCGTTCGTTTGTCACGGATCGCGAACGTTGCTCCGCCTCCCTTTGGATTCAACGTTGCAGGTGATCAAACAGCGAGTCTCGGCGTTGTACTCTTGATCCTCTTCGCGCCGTTTGCAAAGCCATGAGTCTTCGTGATTTAGTCCCCTGGCTGATCTCTGGCTTTACTCTAAGGATTTCCACGCGTTGTTGACCGTGTGCCACTCTTCAAAGGGAGGACGATCCTGAAATGCGGGAAATTAGATTATCGAGTTTCTTCTCGCGATCCGTGTAACGATCTATCGAATAAGTAATTTGTTAAATTGTATTGATATTTATGGATGGAAAAATACGTTTCGTTTGTAAAAAAAAAATCTATCTCTTCGCATAAAAGGGTAATAAAGGTAATAAAATTCGAATTGATTAAATTTCGATTGAATTAATAATGCGATGTAATTAGCAAGCGACAATTTTTCCATCGTACCTTTTTTTCGTCGAAGCGAAAAATAACATCCGCGAACACAGAGAAATGTAATTTTAATTCGATCGAAACGCGAAATTATTTCGTTCTAAATATTTAATTCGCAAGGATCGCTCTGTCGCCATTAAATGCTTTCCACCGATGAAACCAACGCTCTACCGTATTTTACCGTGACAAAGCTAGGGGACGATCAAAAAATTCGGAAACGAGCCGAGCATCCAATTACACTTGGCCTGTTTCGCGAGATTTGTACGGCACCAACTCCGTGCACGTCCGTCGGACGCGTGTCTCGGAAATCTAACACGAATCTCGCACGCTCTGTGTTAACGGAATGTTATGCTACGTGATTGAATCGCGTGACGACGATGTTACCCGTGGCTATACACCCACGCACACAGATCTTGAGTAACGCTCGCTCCAATTTTCCCACCCCATTCCTGCTTTCTGTCCATCGGATGAAAAAGGACTCGCTACCTTTATGGGGTTGCCACGTAGAGTCAGGGTCAGTGAATGGAGGACGCGGGGAGTATTGATCTTTTTCGTTCTTTTTCGCTTCGATCCCGCGCTGTCCTCGTCCTCTCGATGGAACTCGAATCGATCGGAGGGGGACGAAGGGAAGGGAAGGGGAGCAAACGTCGGAATACAATCCAGAAATATGGATCAGCGATGCCGTGAGAGTCGCGCTCGCTCGCATTAATACGTGGAAGATGGAAGGATGTAATGAAATTATTGCGGACTTGCGTGTCTACGTTCACTCGTTGGAATCCGTTGGATGGGTTTCGCTCGCTTGGATAAGATATTTTCGATTGGGCGACAGGTATTCGAGTCACGTGGTGAACATTGCTCGGCGGATAGAAAGCAACCAGTGATCGATCCAAGTGGCGATGTAATCAGAATTTCTTGATTACACTTTGACAGCTCCCCGCTGAATAGGAGACCCGGATTTTCTTTTCCACGGGATGCTGTAAATCTTATTCCGGCCATTCGTCGAGCCTCGTCGAGAGGTGCTCGAGATTTGTGCTCGAGAGGTTGGCGGAGGTTAGACGCTTCGAGCATGCTCCTCTGATTGGATTCCCTCGGGATGCACTTCGTCGTGGGCCAGTCTTTTCTAGCCTGCCCGCTCCCCGAGTTTCGGCCCACCGCCAACTTGGAGAGAACTGGGCAACCTCGAGAACCTCCCCAACCTTCCCTCCCCCTGTTTTCCTTCCCTCCCAATGGGAAACGGACGGGAAATCCTTCGAATCCATTGTTCCCCGATGTCAAAAGCGACTTTATATAGGCCTGTTTTTTTTCCCCCCTCCCTTCACCAACTTTGTCTGATAATTAAGTTGGCGTAGTACTTTCCGGATAAAAGGAACCTGACAACGGCTATTGCTCCTTATCATAATTAGAGTTCTCAAAGCTTGGGTCTCTCTGGAGTTTGGACTGCGCCAATTCCAGGTATTCGTTCGAGTTCTTTTTTTTTTTTTTTTACTTTATTTATTTATTTCGTTTTTCGCCAATTAACTTTCGCTCACTATCGCGTTGCAAGTAGACGGTGAACGGAGCGAGTTCCGTTCTCGAGAGAGGATCCTCGAGAATGGGAGACAAGTTATGACGTAATAACACCGCCTGACAGGAAGAAATATTTCCAACTTTCTTCAGTAAGGAAAACACCGATCGTAACGAGTTATAAGATGAGAAGTACCGAGTACGATCTTGGATTAGACAAATCCTCCCTTTCCCATTTCCAGATTTATTCCCGTCCAGGTTATTCGTAAAAATGCCTTTTATAATTCCCCTTTACGGGGTGGGGGAAGAAAGTCTGGAAGCTCCTTCTTTTTGCCCCCGATACGATCGGCTCATATTCGACGAGGGGAATGAAATTTCCTCCCTCCGAAAGATGAGAACACAATCGACGTTCAACGTGTCCCTTATCGTGTAGCTAAGTTGGCAGTCGTGCACCTCCCAGGAGGAACCCGGTGACTTACAGCCACCAAGCTTTACTCTATCTTGATAGTCCAATGGTGATATACAGGCGCATGTTAAGCGCCACGACAATAATTCCCGGGGAAATACGTCGAATAACGCGGTTAACGAATTGTTTCACAGTTTCCACCATCCGTGACCATTTATTATCGTTTCAACCGTTATCGATCGTATTCCAGATACCGATCTGGAATATCGAGCGAGGAGAAGAAGAAGAAAAAGAAGAAGAAACTTTCCGCTCGAAATACAAGAGAAACGAATTGTTTCTCTTTCATTTTTTTTTTTTTTTTTAGTAATGGAATGAAAAAAAAAGAAAAGAAAGAAAAAAAGAAGAAAACGTAATTACGCGTTTACCGCGTCCATTCTCGCACAAATCGAACATTTTTGAAATCAACCGATCCCGGCCGAATTAGCCCGAACGGTCTCGAGCGAAGGCGCAATCGATTTCGGGAGAAAGCTTTTTCTACCGTGCTCTACATCACCGGCCTTCCCCTATTTCCTCTTTTCACTTGGAGGCTTGGAATCGTCCGTGGATGATGGTAGAGGTGGTACATACACGTACACGTATATATATATATATATATAATAAAAAAGCCTCTTCAACGTTACGTACTTTGAGGCAGAGCGTGTGTATATATACATAAGAGGCTTTTTTTGAATGAATGTCCATTCATGAAACTCTCGTTTTTCAAGTAACCAACCCATCCTCGCCCACCGGTTTCGTCCTTTTCTTCCTTTCACCGTCCTCCTCCTCCTCCCTCCCTCCCTCCCTCTTTTCTCTTCAACACTCGCAAAGCCGCGCCCGCGTGTTTGTGCCCACCAATGTACACCGTGTTTGCCCGCGTCTATGTTCCTTTGCTCCGCGCAAACTTGTTGAGCCCGATGCCGCTGTTCAGAGTAGATAGGTGGCGGACGGGCTCGTGGTGACCTTTTGTTACGGTTTGTCTTGTTTGCCACGGGATTACCCCTCTCTTCGCCCTTCTCCTTCCTTCCCCTTCCCCGTACGGTTGACGAAGTTACGCCTAAGACGACCGAACTAGCGCGGGAATCACGTTAACTGCAATTACCGAGTTGCCACGCCGAGTTGTTCCAGATCCTTCGGCAAACTTATCCTCGACAACTTTGTCCTCGATCGAGGACAAAGATCGCTCCTCTTCGTGGCCAATCGGATCGAAATATTCGTATAATAACGTTGTTAATGCATTCTCTTGTAATCGGTTTATTAAGATCCTTACACGCGCGTATTATTTTATGCACGACTCTCGTTCGTCGAGATCGAGATAAATTTTCCCGTTGCGCGTGATCGAATGTACTGTTCGATGGTAAAGGAACGGGCGCTCCGTGTATACCTTCGGATAGTAAGATCGATATTTGCATGAGTAAATTTTTTTTTTTTTTTCTTTACGGGAGAAAACTTTCGTCGAGAAGTTTTATTTTGGA